GTTGCCCCATAAAAGCTTCATCATATATCATCAGGATATTTTCATATGAAAAAAAGTATATCATCAGGGTATTCTGCTTTTATGTATGCCTGTGTCTTAACAACTAATACGTATAACATTTTTTCAGTCATTACTGAGAGGTAGATTCTTGCGTAACAATGAAAGACCTGTTGAGGAGGAGAGGGCACCGTCAATTGCTGCTAGTGAGCTAGTTCAATTAAGACAAAGACACACTGTATCTGGTTTAAGGTATGTTCCTTCTTAAAAGCGAGCCATGAGAATATTCTAAATTGTTTGCAAGCTTTTCAGCATTATGTTTTCTGGAATGACATAGTATGTGCTTTTTCTGTCCCCAAAATAGGCGCATTTTTTTTAAGGTGATTCTGGTGATAGATTTTATTTATTTTTTGTTCTTCTTTAATATATTGATAATTCAAGCCAGGTATTATATGGATTGAGAACATTGTATATTAGAAGAGCATAGTGTCAGATTTTCCCTGTTTGGCGAGTGTAATTTATGATTTATGGGTGTGGCTAGAAAAATCTTGAATATCACAGAATTTCCATAAAAGTAGGATTGGTACATGGAAGGATTGTCCGTATTCAAAGGTTGGAATGCAAACTGTTTTTGCTAGTTTTCTCCAACTTAATTGCTTAGATACGATTGCTATTCATGGAAGAATGATTATAAACTTTAGTGAGCTTAGCTATTCATTTCTTGATTCATGGTTGGGTTACATCAACGATATATATAGATACTGCCAATGAGCCAATGGCGGTTTTATGATTTTGCATCATTTATTGTGCGGCTTATATTCCTAGCCTGGAGTGTGTAGGAGCTATTGTTTTATGCCACCAGTTAACTTAATATATTGAATAGCTGTATTATGCATTTTTATTATTAATAACATTAATATCATTTCTAATACTTGGTATTGATTTATACACTAATATGTTAAATTCCTTTTCTCATGTAGGGAAGGTTTTCGCTCCAGATTAGAAAATATTGTCCGTGGTCAAGCAAGCAGCAATTCTGATGTCACATCGAGCAATAATAGCAATGAATCTAGTAACGAACGGACTCAAACAAATCTTTCACTGGATGCTCAGCATGAAACCAACGAGCAGTTACAGTCGATAAGTCAGGAGACTGACATTAATCAATTGCCTGATCAAACTGGAAACTTGGAAAGCAACACAAGTGTTGGGGTGACCACTTGGCCAGAAACTTCTAATCAGGAAAATGATAGAGGGAACTGGCAACAGTCAGGTTATAGTCAGTTTGATGAATCGAGAAACAGTAATCAAGCTGAGATGGATACAAACTGGCAACGAAGTCCAGTAACTGGTTGGCCCCAGGAAATTCCTAGAAATGTGGATGGAGAAGAAGGTCATCCACATGGGGCTCAGGGGGTTTGGCATGAGGATGGGGCTAGAGAAGCTGTTGGAAGTTGGTCAGAGGGGCCTTCTGATCCCCCAAGAACTCGTCGGGCTGTTCCTGTTAGAAGATTGAGCAGATTTCATCCTCCTGAGGATGATAATGTGTATAGCATGGAGCTCAGAGAACTTATAAGCAGGTTATTTTATATTTATACTAGGCCTATTGATTCTTGGCTTTATTTGTTAAGCCACTGCTAACTCTCTTTTGAGATTTATATATCAAATGTTATTTTTTTGTTATAGGAGAAGTGTTTCCAATCTTCTTCGTAGTGGTTTCCGTGAAAGTTTAGACCAATTAATACAGTCCTATGTGGAAAGACAAGGTCATACGCCTATTGACTGGGATTTGCACAGAAACTTGCCAACGCCAACTCCTACTTCGCCAGAGCAGAATCAAGAGCAGCAGAGGGATGACCAGAATGAGGATCAGCCTGATGCCATTGATAGACCTTCATTGGTGCTACCATCTCCACCAGTTCCCCCACCCCAGCCACTGTGGCACCAGGATTTACATCACACTACTTGGTCTCGTCACAGCATGCACCGATCAGAAATTGTGAGTTTGTTTCTTCTACAGATCTAGAAACTTCTGCACACTGTTGTTGTTAATATCTTCTTCTTTCCCCCTGTATGAAGTATTTGAAGCTACAAAACTTTCTCCATATCTTATGTCATTGAAGAAAATTGGAACCATAATATAGGATAAAAATAGCTCTTTTATGAGCTTTTTCTTAGGACCACTGCTTGGAGTATATTCAGTTATCCTCATGTTGCTATAGGCAGAAGGCAGTTAGTTTCTTTTGGAATTTTAATGGCGCATGTTGAGCTGATGATGTAAATGAATGGGAAGTGGGCTGAGACATTCTAGTTTGTTTTGATGTCCCTCAGTGGCTATTTTTGTTTCTAATTGTCCTAAAATTGTCAGTGCATGCACCCAAATCCTGTATCTTGTATACTTTTTGCATTCTTACCTTTGAACTGAATTGGGGAAGTTGGAATTGACTTGGTTAGGAGTGGGAGATGTTTAACGATTTGAGAGCAGACATGGCAAGACTTCAGCAAGGTATGAGCCACATGCAGAGGATGTTGGAGGCCTGCATGGATATGCAGCTGGAGTTGCAGAGGTCTGTCAGACAGGAAGTGTCTGCTGCTCTTAATCGATCAGCTGGTGAAAAAGGTTTGTGTATTTTTCTCATTGTTCATCTGTCTTCCGGAACATTTTTCTAAATGGAAGATTCCTTACACATGCATTTTCATTATATTGAGCAATATCAGCGTTCTGATTATTGTGAAATTTTTTACCCTACTTTTTCAGGGATGGTTGCAGAGACATCAGAAGATGGATCTAAATGGGGTCATGTGAGAAAAGGGACTTGCTGTGTTTGTTGTGATAGCCATATTGACTCTCTATTGTACAGGTATATCTTCCATTTATTTTCCTCCGATGCTCTCTCTGAAAGACAAACTAAAAAGTTGGAGGGAATTGTTATATAGTTATTTTGGTTCTTATCTTATCCATTTTTTAATTTTGTGCTGTGGATAAAAATAATGTGAAAGTGTATGCAGATGTGGGCATATGTGCACTTGCTCAAAATGTGCGAACGAGTTGGTTCGAGGTGGAGGGAAGTGCCCATTGTGTAGAGCACCAATTGTTGAGGTAATTCGAGCATACTCAATACTGTAAAGACAGGTGAAAGAAATAAAAAGGAAAAGGGAATAATAAAAATCAAATAGAATTGAGTGGTAAGGTGAGAGAGAGAGAGCCCATGTCAGTTGATGTACATGAATGAGGAGTTGTCGGGGGGCCTGTCTTGTTTGTAGAGTGTTGTTCATTGTTCAAGTTGTTTCCTCCGTTTTTTCTGATTATATGTGGAACATTAAGCACTTTGTATGATTGGATTAACAAATGACATCACTAATTCTTCATTCATGTCGTAAATAATAAAGTTAAATAGATTCTTTACATTTTGTTCGCCTCTGGATACAGAATGATACAAAACTTGTGAAAAAATTAGGTCATCTCAAATTGACTATCCATGGAGTTTTAGTGTTGAGCGTTTGCAAATTACGCAAAAGATCACGTTAATTGTTAGGTGAAGCTCTTATCCGACTTTATGATCTTTAAGACAAAGTCATTTCTATACAATACAACTTGTGGAAGTGATAAAGTTGTGATGTATCTGCCAGTTATCATTAACCTCTTGCAACGGAAATAAATATTAATAGGGAATGTTAATTAAGGTTACTTTTATCTTGATTTAAGTGTATTTATCCTTATTTAAAAAAGATAATTAATGAGGTATTAATGGGACTAATATCTATTGGATTGTTATAAATTGTCAATTAATTCAATGGTGGTTTCTGATAGCATTTAACATATTATCAATTTCTTCGGGTTAAGAATGGGTAATTTTATAGGGTTGTTGCTGTTGATACGAAAATACAAGTTGAGAAATCAATGAATATAGTAGGAATAGGATGATGATTTTCGATGCCTTTTTTAAGATATAATTAAGGTGAGAATTTACATTGGTTAAAATGCACATCCAGGAAAAAAACGTGTTTATCTATTTTGTAAATCGCATACAAATTTGCCTACAATGAAGGGAAACTTCAAATATAGTTTGTAATTTAACCAAATATAGTTAATGCAATTTAAACCAACCTACCCAACTAAAATCTAAATTCGCACGACTATTATGAGTTAATGAAGCTTGCCGCCTCCACTATCACCAACTATTTTAGTGGACAGCACATCAATATCCATTTCTCAATCTCATATATTGGTAAACACACAACATTCTGGATCTTTATTTGTTGCTATTTTTTTCAAACCATTCGCAAAAGTAGTTGGGATTTTCGTGCATAGGTTTGTTTGTTATTTCTCCCGAAAATTAATTTTAAAAATTCTTATTTTTAAAAGCATACTCTAGGAAATATCTCTAAAGTTTTAAAATTTTCAGATCTAACAAAAAACATAAATATAGAATGGCTATAAAATTAAAATCTCGTCAATGTTTTCGACCACGTCAAGAAGATGATATTTTTTACTTATGGGAATTACTTTTTTTAGTGAATATTAGTAAAATCCAATAATTTCAAATCACTGTGTTTTGTTTTGGGTTATTTAGTCAAATAACCAAGTCCATTGATCTTCCAATTCCCAAAAACCCACCTGATCAAATTACAATTAAGGTGAAACTGAAACAGATCAGCAACAACGACTAACGATGGGTTCAGTTTTTCATCTCTTTCTCTCTAATTTTTGTTAGCTAATACAATGGTTTTTCACCCATTATACAATGCAATGTCTTGGTGAAGAATTAAGATTTATATTCCTTTTCCATTTCGCCCAAAAATTAATTTAAAAAAAAAAAAAAAAAAAAGATAAAGAAAGAAAGATTAAATAAATACTAAACAAAGCTGACATTATTGTAAATCTTTTTTTTTTTTTCCTTTTTTGGTACAAAATTTTTAATTCTTCCGCTAACCGGATTTATTACTGTAAGAGTCCTCCTACCATAATCATGCCTCCTCTCAACAATTTACATGTTACTCTCTTTTTTTTTTTTTTTTTTTTGGATACTAACGACGGGCTATATAAACTATAGAGGACAAAAAATTAGTGAGTAAAAAGAATAAGATAAGAGCTGAAAAAAAAAATCACCTAGAATTTATTTAATTCATCAAAACCATTTTCTTCGACCATTGCCAGCTTTGAGCTTCATCACAAGCTGCTCTCGTTCAGCTTCGACTTCGGCATACTTAAGGCTCATTTGAAAGTAGCGTTCACGAAGATCTTTCAGCTCTGCCTCGAGTGATGCTGCCTTTAGATCGTGTCCATTTTTCTTCACAGCTCCATCTTCACTCAGTTCATTGGAAAAAAATCTGAACACAAGCAGAGCATTTTGCACCAGCTGTTAGCATTGCTCTATCAATTTATAGTACGGACATTGGATTTACAAAGAACAAGAAATTAAAATTTTAAAATCTGAAAAGTATCACTTGTACTGACCTCTTAAGCTGTTGTTTATACATGTCGTTTGCCTCCAAAGCCTCGGCTAGTTCATTCTCAAGAGACTGAATCTTCGACAAAGTATCATAATTTTGGTCGTTATCAACCTGAAACGAAAGGAAGAGAAGGTGAAGCTATTGAAAGATAAAATGAGCTGTCACTGTTACAAAGACATAATTGGCCCATCTAATAGAACTGGTTGAATTTATGTATTACAGTGACATGAACCTGTCTTTGGTTTTGTTGTAGTTGACCAGCTCCCGCAGATGGCTTCTCATTGGTCTGCAGATTGCCATTGTCTTGCTCCTGCCATTTCAGAAGCTGAATTTGTAAATCTATATTCAAGTTTTAATATAACTTCAATGAAATCAAGTAATAAGAGACAGGAAAATTGTTGATACAAACCTTCAATTTGTCATGGAGAGAAGTACCGGTAGCAGTTGAATCAGGATGAGAAAGATTTGCAACAGACTCAAGATTATCCTGTTTTATTTCTTTCGTCTGCTTCAATTCCTGTTCAAGAGCTTGAGCCATTTTCATACATTCTTCCTTCTCCTTCTCAAGATTTTTTATCTTTCTCTGGAATTGGCTGTTTTCCCTCCTTATCTGCGCGAGCTCATTTTTAAGCACTGCTTCCTGGGAACCTACTGCTTCTCTTGCTGTTAAATCCCCCTCCAGCCGAAGAACCTTTTCCTCGAGGGCAACTTTTTTACGCTTGTAGTCCTCTAGTTCAGAAATCGCCTTCTGACTACTAGAGATTTTCTCCATACATAGGCTTCTCTCAGCCCGAAGTTCTTCGTAATCTCCTGATAATATCTGGAAAGAAGCTTCCAGTCTTTCATTTTCAAATTTGGCCTCATTGAGTGATTTCTTAAGGCTTAGAACTTCATCCTGCAGCAGTGCTGTTTTCTCCAGTTGAACCTTAAGGCTGGAAACTTCTTCTGCTACCTGTAACCTCTCATATTCAGAAGCTTTGAGTTTTAACTCAAGCCCTCTAATGGTGCTTCTGTGTTTCTCTTCATTGGATTTAACATCCTCCAACAAATCCAATAGTTTTTCATGGTCAGCCGTCAGAACTTCCTGGTTTTGCTTTGAAGCAGCAAGTTCACCCATAAGCTGTTGCACCTTCGCCTGAGATTCCACCTGGAGGGTATCAAGGTTGCTCTCCAATAATTTTAGTTTCTCTTTGACTTCTTGAAGAGCAGCTTCAAGTAGAGCTTTATCTGCACGTAGATGGGACACTTCAAGTACAGCTTCGGAAGCTGTTCTATCCTTTTCATCTTGAGTCGCAGATATCTGTTCAGTAAGGAGTGCAACCTCCCTTTGAAGGCTCTGAACTTCAACCGTCTTCTCGAAGTACATCTGATTAAACAGACTCTCTTCAGTAACAACTTTATCTTTATGCTTTTTGTTTTCATGAAGCAATGCATCTAGTTCTAGGTTAATGGCTTTCTCCTTTGAAGCAATTTCTTCCAGCATTGAAGAATATTTTTCTTCAAGTGCTTCAAGTTTCTTTGACATATCAGAAAAAACATTTTCTGATTCTCCCAGTTCAGCTTCCAAGACTGCACAGTGTTCATGCAACTTCATTTTCTGCTTTCTTAGCTCTGCATTTGATTCCTGCAGTAAACTACATTCTTCAATGAGACTTTCAGCCGTAGCTTGTAGCTTTGGATTTGCTACTTTCAGATATTCACATTCTTCTTGAACTCCAATCCATCTTTTTTGCGAGTCCTGTAACTTCTGCTTCATTTCAGCTTTCAGAGCCTCCATTTCAGCTTCCAATCTTCTTATCTCATCCTGGAGATCCTGAGCAAGAGATTTTGAATTCTCCAATTCCAAGCGACTTGACTCTCTGTCATTAGTCAAATATCTTAGCTGTGCTTCTAAGCCACATATCCGTTCAGACAACTGTACATTCTCTTCTTCTACTTCATGCAAGTGAACTTCCAGGTCATGTTTGCCGCCCTCTAGCTCAGAAGACTTGCTTTCAAGAATCTTGTTGGCTGAAACCTGAGAATACATGTTGCTATTCAGCACCATCATTTCATTACGCAAATCATCCAAGTGTTTAGAGTTGGTAGTTCCTTCTCTAAGCATCGTCTCCATACTTTCCTCCAACAGGGCTTTTTCTTTTTGAAGATCAGAAAGCTGAGTTTCCAGCTCTCTACAGTAATGTCTTAGAGCATTGATCTCTTCTTCTTTCAGCAAATTCTCAGATTTGAGCTCATCTATCTGAGACAAGAGTTCCTTAGCAGGATCTGTAGTTTCAGATTCATATTCTGCATCCTGAATCTCTACTTCCCGAGTGTACGTGTTTTGAGTATTTTCACATGCATGAGGACCCTGCAAATTAATCACTCCTTCTGAGTTTTCCCCTGCTGCTCCGACTTCTTTGTTAGATTGAAGTTCATCCTCATCAACAGTAATTTTCGCTTCAAAAAACATTTTCAGCTGGATAAAATCTTTCAAGATAGCCTCAACTTGCTCCTTTTGAGTATGTAAATCTGTACTCGTTGAAATTTCTGACTTGTCAAAGCCATAACTACACGCAGTACTTGCATGAGGAATAAGACCAGATTGTTGCTTCTTTAGCTGGTCTAAAGAGAGTTGAACCTGTTCATATAACTCAGAGAGCAATTTCGAAATTTCGATGGAAGTATCTGATTCATAAATCTTACACTTTGAACAGACAACTGCAGGATGATCTTGAATCTCAGTTTCCTTTTTCTGGTAAAGTTCTAGCTGTTGTTGCAGAGCAGCAATTTCAATTTCCTGCTTTTCTGCTCTGGAGCGACAACTACAGAGTTCACCATCAAGAAAACAAACTTTGTCCTTGAAAGCTTGCAACTGGTGCTCAAGGTCATCTTCCTGCTTGCATATTTGAGACTTCAGTTTTCTTCCTGTAGATTCAGATGTAAAGGCAAAATTGTTCCCCGCACACTCATTTGATAAAGATTTAGAAGAGGCATCTGACGTCACAAGATCCTTTTTTGATTCTTTGAGCTTAAACAGAAGTTCCAGGTTTTCCTCCGTGAGTTCATTGCAATCCCTCTCAAGTTCCTGAATCTTCTGTTTTAGAACATCAACTTCTACAACTAGATTGTGACTATCTTTATTTTCAGAAACCATTACCTTCAATTCTTGAGCATTTCGAGCCTCAGATAACTCAGCTTCCAAATTGATGATTTTTTTCTCTTTTTCAGTTATTATAGCCCTCCACTTTGCCTCACAGTCCATTAGAGTTTGAGTCTTTGAACCTCGTTCCAGCTCTACCTCATGGTTTTTTTCCTCCAGAGATCTTTCCAGAAACTGAATGGTACTCTCCAATTTCTTTTTAACATCCAGTAACTGCTTTAGCTCAAGTTCTAGCTTCCTCTTATCCTCTTGTCCAACCTCAGCATTCAAATCTCTTGTCGGGTGTTCGATAATACTTCCTTCCATATCTGAATCACAGGAGATTTCTCTCATCTTCTTTACTAAAATCTGCTCAGTTGTATTCATTTGCTTATTGTCTTCAAACCCTTGGCCATTCATTCTTACCTCAACTTCTGGTTTTGTTTTAGAGAGACTGTCAATTTCCATTTTCTGTTTCTCTACAGTCTTTTCAAGTTCCTGAAGAATGGAAAGAAGTTCAATGTTTGATTCTTGTGTCTTCTTTAGCTGCAGCGTCAAATTTGCGTTTGATTCTTTTTGAAACTTTATCTCATCTTCCAGTTCCTTCAGAATTTTTTCTATATCTTCAGCCTGAAACTTCAAATTCTCAGTAGCAGTTGGTTGCACCTGTGATTCTTCAACCAAGATCTTCAGCTGCTCAATTTCCTTATTCAAGCTATCACATTTAGCATGTGATTCTGAGAGCGCAGTTTCAAGGCTTGCTTGACGTGTTGATTGCTCCAATGATTCCTTCTGTAGTTTCTCGAAATCAAACATTAGCTTTCGAGCATTTTGTTCCCACATCCTAGCTTCAGCACGGAGCTCCTCAATTGTAACTTCTGCAGCTTCCAGAAGGTCTTTAGATGAACCAGCACTCCGTAAAGTTGATGAGGCAACAGCACGTGGAACTCGATTGAATTCTTCTCTTTGAGTTTGAAGATGGCTTCCGGAATTTACAGCTTTTGAATTAAAGGACGACTGGTTTGACCGAAATGGATCATGAAAAGAATAAGAGCTATAAGGAGAACTATTTTGAGAGCCAACTGAATCTTGTCTTCCAACCAGATTGTTCACTACTCCACTTGAGTAACTTAGAGGGGAAAAATTTTCCCTGCCAGAGGAGCCCTCTACAGAGTCAAAGCTATTACGAGAAGCTGACGGTGAGAAGCTCATGTTCTGCAGTGACAGAAAAAAAAAAAATCATTAACCACATGAGAGCAAAAGCAAAAGCAAAGGCCGTGATAATATTTCTAGTGGCGATCAAAGTACATGAGATATGTATCAAATTAGCAAAGAGGTCTTTGGCCAATTTTTCACTTGAGTATTCCAGTGTTTCAGGAAAGCATATAGTAGGTAATATAGATAATTGCAAAACATGTTTTAATCAATGTTATATTCACAAATATATTGATGTGTAAGATTGGAAACATATTATGGAGCACAAACTACACTCATTAGGAAACTTTATAAAACACTAAAAATAATAGTCACTAGAACTAAGTCAACAAAATCACAGCTTGATCCCACTAAATGATTTATATGCAACCAAAATCATTTCCGTTAACAACCAAAACCACAGAGTTGTCTTACATCATATTGTCGAGTCCATGCTTCAGATGGATAGAATGGTATACTTCATGATAACCAGCAACCATGGGTTTGAGTCCATCTATATACAAAAAGGGTGATAAAGAAAGACAGGTCTTCAGACCCATGATATGGGAACTACAATGAGTAACTACTGAGATCACAGATTAAAATCTCTATAGTAAAATGCCTCATATATCAGATGACTCTACACCACAGTGCCAGCTTAATATGAATATATGTATTAATTCTTGAGTTACAAACTTGAAATACAAACAAGCTCAACATCATAGAAGAGATGGCACATCAAATCCATTTTCATTGTCTAGGGAGAGAAAATTTTTGGAATTACAGATATGAACATGGCAGAAGGTGTAATGGTAAACTAACTGTTTAAATATCAAACTAGAGCTTTATGAGAGGAAGGTACCATACCCGACTACATGGTTCTCCTGCTTGAGATGCACCATCCAAATGGTTGCTAGATGAAGATCCAATACTCCTTGTGAATGTACCATCAGAGACATCTGATTTGTTTTCCAACTCGTCATAGTCAACATTCACGTCCTCCATATCTGAATTTGTGTCTTTCCACTGTTCATCCCTTTAAAAGGTGCAGTAACTCTTTCACAACCACTGAACAGAAAGTTTAAAAAGTATGAAGTTTCTCATTTAACTGCAAACCTGAGTTTTGCTCTGGGTGTTAGGCACTGAACTTTAAGCTGTAAACAAGAAGAAAAATTTCGTCAGATAAGAGTTTACAGTCAATAATTTAATGTACCCAATTGAAAATACTCATTGACAGATAGCTAATATATCAGAATACCTTCCACATAACAAAAAGAGCGTGTAAACAGGACCACAGTTAAAATTATACAGATTCAACTGATTTCTAATTCCAAAGAAACTGAAGATGCTTAAGATGACTCACTTGTAAGATCGTCCCACTATTACATTTTTTCAATGGTAATGAAATAGGAATAAGACTTTTTGAACTCATGTAGCTTGCTAAATTGACAAAAGCCTCGCCAAGGATGCCGGATCTCGATGACCCCTACAACAATTGTCATTTCAGGTTGACTGTATTAGTTAATTGACACTAAATCAAATAAATAAAGCTTCACAATAACTACCATAAACATCACACCATGGAAACAACAAACTTAATGACGCATTTTTCAACAGCTTTAGATGCATCATCCGGTTGACTCCAAATAGACTCTGAAAAAGTCTCAATCCATTGGCAATTTCCATTTCGTGCCGTTGCTTTCCCTGACTTAGCTATGGTTTTGCCTGTCTCTACAGAGATAATAGATACAACAAGCTTGTCCCATCCTTTGGGAACCTGCAGTTGCCAAATTACACAATATAAAAATTGCAAAAGAATTGCCAAACAAATAATAGAAGGAACATAACCTCTTAAACTAAATAAAGTTTCATCCAGTGAACTTTTTCCACTTAACCACCATGCTAGTTTCTTGCAATGCCAAATAAGACCTCATAAACCACAATCAAAACATAAGATTAAAACTACCACAAGGCTGAATTTAGCAGGCTAGAAATTGAACCATAAAAATGGAGGCAATGTCCTTTAGACAAATTATAATAGGACATTTTAAATTTACCAGATTCCAATTTCAAAACTTATAATTCAAACCTATTAGGAATACAATAAGCACAAATTTCGCAGAACACACATATATATGGGCAGATGTTTTTACTAGCAAGTATATTTTAATTTGTTTCAGTTACACCCTTACCCCCAATTCGTCCAACCTTAATGTGAGCAGATATTCATTTCCTTTTCTAATGAACTAATTCATCAAACAGACACATTATTGTTATTAAAGGCATGCCGACTTCAATTAACTAATTTTTTTTTTTTTTTTTTTTAAATTAATGATATGGCTAAACTTATATCTTACATCCAAACTAATACATATATTATTGTTATCATTAAAAATAACAAAAAATGTATTAAGTCGACCTTTAGTCAACGAACCATTAAGTTGGTAATCAGAAAACAATTTTCAATAGCAAAGAAAAAATCTATAAATTCAAGCTGTATTCTGAGTGCTCTTAACATCTACATATAATTTCTGAAAACATTTTACACATTTAAATTCATATAAAATAAATAGAATCCAAAATTTTGAGCCGTATCTTCAAAATTTTCAGTATTAGGAAACAGTTTCCCCACACACACACACACATATATAAAACACAATCCAAAATCCTAAACAAAACTGTTCTTAAAAAAAATTCAACTGCACCATTTCTTGCGCCATTACAACTTCGTACAATAAATATATATTTATTAAAAAAAAAAATACAGAATACGAAATTTTGAGCCGTATCTTCAGAATTTTAAATATTCGAAAACAGTTTCCAGATTATAAAAAAAAAAATAAAAAAATCCAAAATCTGAGTTGAAGACGCGCACGCTATAAAATCTGAATGACTTTTCTTCGTGCTCAGATTTCAAACTGCACACTAATTTTCAAATAATAAATAAAACAGTTCTTAAAAATAATACATTCAACGGCACCATTCCAGCGCCATTACAACTTCAAACAACAAAAATATATATTTAAAAAAAATAGATGAATGAGTAAATTGACGAGAAGTGAAAGTGAACCTGAACAGCCTGAAAGTTAGAGAACTTGAAATCGCATTTCTCTCCGAATTTATCCGATTTGTGTTTGTGTAATCTGAACATTGTTTTCGTTTTTGTTTTCTTTGATTTCGTTTTCAGTTTCAGTTGTTTCTTCTGGATTTCATAGAGATGAATATGATGAAAACGGAGCAGTTTCACATGGTGTGAGACAGAGAGAGAAAAGAGGAAGACTGTGTTTACTTAACAATGGAGAGAAAGCGTTAGCTGTTATTTCATTTGTTCCTTGCCGAGATGTTGTTAATGTTTCCCATTGGATATTGTTAATTCTTTCATTTTTTATTTGTTTTTGCAAATTTATCCTTGTTATATAGTTTATTTCATAATTCTCCCCTTTTTTATCTTTTTATGAAATTTACCACAATTTTAACGTGTTTTTCATATTAACCCAAAAATGAACTCACCTTAATGAAAATTTTCAGATAGCTCATCCAGAAGTTTTTAACGTGCTGACCAAATGTCAGCGATTGCTTGTTAGCTTTGATTTTTCCCTTCAATAACGATAACCCTATAACCTTCTCTCACAACCCCTGATATAATAACTCATTATTGATTAGTATGCAAATGGGCAGAGCTCATACAATTTTATGAGTTGTTACATCGGAGGTTCTGAGATTAGGTTGTGGACCTAATATTACTCTTTGCCTTTTATAAAACAAATGTTGATAGCTCTAGTTTTTGTTTCACACATTTAAAACTTTTTTTTTTTTTTTTTGGTGACTAGGGGTATCCGGACCAGCTTGTGCGCACCTCAACTAATCCCTTGAACCTTTAAATTGATAGACAGGTAAATCTCTTTAATAGTCACTTCTATTAGCAACCCAAATGGTTCAAACTCAGGACCTCAGAGCACCCAGTGGTGGTTCACATTTAAAACTTCAAGAAGTGTGTACAACAGAATGCCAACTTACCTTAATACCTCATATGGTGTTGTTGATGTTTTTGAAGATATTAATATTATATTTTTTAAAATCTTAGACAAGAATAATAATTTTGAATAATATGATAATGAGAAATTTGGGAAATCAATTGGGACGTATACCATTATTTACTATAAATTTATGCATATAAAATAATAAATATGACTTAAAAAGGTGATTACATATTTGCGAAATTTACTTCGGTTCTAAGGGAGGTAGGATTTTTATTTCCTTTATATGAAGCGTATATTATATTCCATATATTATACTATAAAGTTAGTGATATTTGGTATCACATTCATTTTACCTTAAATATTAAAAATTGTCAAAAAAAAAAAAATGTGGGTTTCATTGGGACTTCATTGAAACAAGATTTACAAATACAATCTTAAACACAATCAATTCTAAAAGGAAATATAAATCATTTTAACTGATTGATTAGAAATCATCAATATTCATTACAGAACTTCAAAAGGAAGACTATTATTACATATCGGTATTAAATTCATTCTTTTTAGTTTAATTAATAAAAAATTGTACTTCCTTTTTGCTTCTTTTTTTTTTTAATAAATATTATATTAACTAGAAGACCATGAAGTTGATATTTCACCAATGGCCCACTTTGGGCCCAATATTGCTTCATACAGGCGAATAATATTTTGACATAAGAGTGGCAGTGCTGCATTATTAAAGTTGTTGGGTTTGTTTTGTCACCCATGTGTTTGGCAAGAAAACGGTTACCTCGTCTCAATTTTGGGAAATTAACATCGTAACCCTTAAATAGCGTTTTTGTTGGTTAAATGTAATGGTTCAAGGAGTCCAAGAAATATTTTGAATATATCATTAACACATTTGACTAAACGATGAAAAGTTTTGGCCAAATTTTAGAACATCGATTGAAAGTTCTAGTCATACGATTAATCGATTTAGTACTATTGTAATTCTTGAATATATAAATGGTCAATTGTGTGACTGAAACTGCCAACTAGTTATTCAATATTTCTATGCTACCTCTTGTACCGTTATATTTAATTAGTAGATTCTCTATTTGGGGGTGTCTACGTTAGTTTCACCAAATCTTGAGGGAAATTTTTTTTGCACCAAACCTAGGTGTGACAACACATTGATTTTATGTTTTGCTGGTGAATCACTTCAGCAAAGATTTCTGTTGTGCTGATAAGGAATCAAACAACCCACATGGGTTTTCTCCAATTTTAGTTGAGTAGGTAAATAAAAGGATAATTTTGTTTTTTTTTTTTTTTTTTTTTTTTAAAAAGCTATGTGTTTGTTTCCCTATCCTACCCAAAATATGCATCTGTTTCCCTATTCTGAAAATCATATTCTATTTTGTTCAACTATTTTATAACTCCCTAGGTTTGTTAATTTAACTAAACACTGCCAAAAAAAAGTTTAAATATTGACAAAAACACCCCCACTCACCCACATTTGTCAAATTGTGGCCACCACCATCGGAAGGTGGCCAGAATTTGGCGTAATGGCGCACTACCGGCTGGATCTAGCTGGTAGTGCGTCGATCTAGTATTTTTCGGCCAAATCCACAAACGACCAAATCTTTGGCCGTAGCTGGTCGTCAACGGCGGCCAAGATATGGCTGTTGTTGACCATCAATGACAACCATATCTTTGGTCGTCATTGACGACCAAATGTGGCCAGATCTAGCCTTTTTCAGTCAGATCCACTGTGGATCTAGTCGGAAAATGCCATATCAGCGCACGACTGGCCAGATCCAGCTGGTCGTGAGCCATTATGATGACTGTTGGCCACCTTCAGGAGATGGTGGCCGGCTGTAGGCATTTAATGGGTGGGTGGGGGTATTTTTGTTAATTTTTAATGTTTTATTATAGGGGTGTTTAGTAAATTAACAAACCTATGGGGTATTTTTATTAATTTTTAAATCCTACCTCGTAATAACCACCTAACTCAACTTTTTCAAAAATCCTACCCAAAATAATAAAACAAACAAACCCATATTTTGTTGGCTAATAATAGCACATGATAACATGTTGCCTTATTTTGGAATCATTCAAATGAACTTTATTGAGTTGCATGTGTGTCCTCCTTGTCACATGCACATTTGAGGTAATAAAGCATAATTTAGGGGTCTAATCTAGAGAAAATTTCTCTGTCTATACCATTATTTTGTATGTCTATTCATTTACTTTTCTTATTTGATTTTTGAGTCATATGGTTTTTAAGATGGTCTTGAAGTTATCTAATGTTTGAATACTATAATGACAATACTACACTTACAATCCAATCTCACAAACTTTCTCTTATAACTTCAACGTGGTAGTTCGCAAATAAGTCCCGCATACCCTATTACAAATTGATCAATTACAAGTTGTCATGTCGATGTTGTAAGAGAAAGTTTATAAGATTGGTTTATGAGTCAATCTTTATTAATACTTTAACTATCACTTATTATTCTTAGTTAATCTTAATCACCCAAATCATAGGTCGATCTTCTATCATATTTAATTTCCTTATCAAATTTATATTTTACATGAGAATCAATCTTTCAATGAATTCATGTTTCACGATAAATATTCTAATAAACTTAAATATTAGGATAGTATCGTAACTTTACCAAATAGTAGCTTAAATTTTAGAATCAAACAGGTTTCTTAAGAGTCATACGTACAAGTTTGGCCTTAATGGATTGTATGGAAATTAGTTAAAGTAATAAAAAATTGATATCGAACAAGGTATATAATTCAAAACATTAGGAGATCATTGTTGTATTTGGCAAGAAAATATACACAAAAACTTAACTAATATATAAGGGCATGTTTGACTTATTATTTTTACCCATATTCCCAATCATATTTTCCAAATAATGTTTAGCACATTATTCCAGAAATATTATCCTATTTTTTTAATTACTTTTAGACCCCATAAGGTTATTAATTTCATTAAATGCCCCTGAAAAAAAGTTTAAAAATTTACAAAAACACCCCCGTGACCCATACTTGCCAGATTCTGAAAATCGCCGTCGGTGGTAGTCGGAATCTGTACAACGACCTACCTGCCGACTAGAAATGGCTGGAAGTTTACCAATCTGGCTGTCGTTGACGGTCAACGACGGCCAAATCTTGGCTATCGTTGACCGAAAACGACGGCCATATCTTTGGCCGTCGTTTTGGCCTTTTCCGGCCATCACGGCCATGGAAGGCCATGGATCTGGCTTTTTCCGGCCAGATCCATGCTGGATCTGGCCGAAAAATGCCATAACGGCGTGTTACGACACAGATCCGACCGGTCTGTGTCGTAACGCGATTTTTCGGCCAGATTCCNCCCAAAATAATAAAACAAACAAACCCATATTTTGTTGGCTAATAATAGCACATGATAACATGTTGCCTTATTTTGGAATCATTCAAATGAACTTTATTGAGTTGCATGTGTGTCCTCCTTGTCACATGCACATTTGAGGTAATAAAGCATAATTTAGGGGTCTAATCTAGAGAAAATTTCTCTGTCTATACCATTATTTTGTATGTCTATTCATTTACTTTTCTTATTTGATTTTTGAGTCATATGGTTTTTAAGATGGTCTTGAAGTTATCTAATGTTTGAATACTATAATGACAATACTACACTTACAATCCAATCTCACAAACTTTCTCTTATAACTTCAACGTGGTAGTTCGCAAATAAGTCCCGCATACCCTATTACAAATTGATCAATTACAAGTTGTCATGTCGAAGTTGTAAGAGAAAGTTTATAAGATTGGATTATGAGTCAATCTTTATTAATACTGTAACTATCACTTATTATTCTTAGTTAATCTTAATCACCCAAATCATAGGTCGATCTTCTATCATATTTAATTTCCTTATCAAATTTATATTTTACATGAGAATCAATCTTTCAATGAATTCATGTTTCACGATAAATAATCTAATAAACTTAAATATTAGGAGAGTATCGTAACTTTACCAAATAGTAGCTTAAATTTTAGAATCAAACAGGTTTCTTAAGAGTCATATACGTACAAGTTTGGCCTTAATGGATTGTATGGAAATTAGTTGAAGTAATAAAAAATTGATATCGAACAAGGTATATAATTCAAAACATTAGGGGATTATTGTTGTATTTGGCAAGAAAATATACACAAAAACTTAAATAATATATAAACTATTTTAACAAGCTACCCATCCTAAATTTACCATCAACCTATCAAAAAATGATGTGGAAAGAGAGGGAAAGGGGGTTGGCC